TATTATTATTTTCTGGCAAGGATGCAACAAGGAGGAAGAGTATATTGTCAATTTCCTTATTAGTCAGAAAATCTGTAACCTAAATTGTATTCTATTCTTTCATTCCCAAGAAATAGTCATTCAGTGAATTGCATTAAAGAAAGAGATGTACTAAAAAGAACTATACAAATACTTTCAATATATGGCTTCTCAGTTGAAAATATGCATGACAGAAGGATGAATATGTCATGTATGTATGCATATATGAGGGAAGGGAGTAAAAATATATTAATAGCATAGAGAAATGAAAAACTGTTCAAAAAAATAAATCTTTAATCTTAACCACCCCTATCAGATTACTCTCAATAACAGAATTATAATCCTCATTTTTATAATCATGCTTTGTAATGTTATTGTTCTTCCAGTCTACTTTTATTTTTTAATCTCTTCAAGTGGTTTGGATGTTGAAAGTGAGAAGTCCAACTTTTCATTTGAATAAGCTGTCCAAGTTAATGTGGTTATTGTTAACATTTTGTCAGCTTTAGTTTATGATAAATGAGAGAAGTGTACTCAGTTGCCACTAAAGAGTCTGCAAATTAAAAGATGGAATGTAGAGGTAAAGACTCATTAAAAACCTTCAATTAATTAGTGTTCAGAAATTTTGAACTGCCAACATCAGCCACACTTACAAAAATAAATCTATTATGCAAAACACTGATGGCAATTTTTCCTTGTCATTATAGTGTACCGTATAGTGTAGAGTGTACTATAATTTGAAAAGTACTATCTGACATCTAATGTATTGATGTGTTTTAGGCTTTGTAAGACTGTATAATTTGTTAGCATTGCCTCACCTGAGGAGCCAAAATTACCTCTGTGATCACTTTAGTGAATTTGTGCTTTTGTATAAGAGAGGAGAATTTTTCAAGCTGGTCTATGGTAGGACTTTTATTTCTGTCATACTAATTAAGAAGACATTGTATCTCATAAGACACACAATGCTAAATTGAGCCTTACAGTCTAGAATTATCATTCAACCCTGGCTTGCTGTTATGTATATCTTACATGTATTTGAGAATGAGAATATTTTATTGACATCATTATATAACAGTTCCTGGTCCCTGGTGTTACTAAATTCTATGTGTGCTATGATGACACTGCCTGGTGTTACTAAATTCTATGTGTGCTGTGATCACACTCTGGTTTTGATTTCTTGCAGTCTGGTTTTCATCCTCATTACATTCACTAGTGAAATTTTCTTTGTGTCCAGCCATCCAGTCTTTAGTGACTCTCTTCTCTATGACCTGTTCTGTGTCTGTTCTTAATTAGCTCTCTCCCTCATTCCTGAGCTGCTTCAAATTCTTCCTTGAAAAACTGAGCCTCTTATCCCACTTTTCATCACCATACAATCCACAGGACCTTCTCCTAAATACCTGTTTTGTTGCTATAGCCAGTTTGTAGATGACCTCATATAGTTCTGTCACTTTAATTTGTATTGAGTTAATTTAAGTTTTTATTCTTCCTTTACAGCCCTCCTGCCATGAGTTTCTCCTCATGGTTTTTCTTCTGTCTTCAATGTCATTTGATCTGTTCTAGTCACATCATCTTTTAGTAGCTCTACATGAATTCCACATCCCCTCCCATGTTCCTTCCTAGTACTTAAACTAAATGATGGTTGTAATTTTGTAAATTCAAAAGCTTTACATTTAGTAAAATACAACCAGTTAGTAGCCAACAGAGAAAAGGTGGAATGATTTTTTGTAAAAAAGGATATCTGGAGACTATGTACTTAGCAATGAAAAATTAATAATAAAAATTAAAAATTAGATTTAACTAAAATTATTATACACTTCTCCTGTATATTATTTGATTGTGCTTTTGTCTATATCCCACAGAACTGTATTATATGAGTGCTGTCCTGGCTATATGAAGATGGACGGTACAAGAGGATGTCCTGCAGGTACAAGCTTATTTTCTTATGGATGAGTCAGTATATGAGAAGCTTTACAACACAGGAGACTTTCAAAGGTGATCATCCTGAGAAATGATTGCCTCTTTTTAGGAATTACTGCCTGAGAACACATAACTTCATTTGCATACAGCAAACACAGTTAAAAATCAGCCAGTACTGAATTTGATCATGCAGTTTAAGTTGAATTTCCCAGGTCCTTGCAGATGCTGGATTGATGAGGAATGATAGTGTTTCCAGTTCCCAAAGCTGCAAAAGAAGAAGTTTTATTCCTATTCCCATGACATCTCAAAATAACATAAAGTATACCAGTCAGGTCAGAAAAACAGGACACTAGGACTGGTGTATCTAAATTCTGTTCATTCGTTTTCCTGAAAAGACTTGAATCTAGTTTACTAATAGGGTCTTATAGGCTTTAACTAAACTAAGAAGGAGTGAAAATGAAAACAGGAATTCTTGATTTCTCATATCTGTGCTATTCTCTTTTGCATAAATGAAATTGATTACAGCAGGGAGGAGTAATGTGAGAAGGAATATATTTCATAGCTTTAGATCTCTGTATCTGAACCAATCCCTTTACATTCAATAATGCAGAGCTCAGTTTATTCAGATGAATTAATCTCCCTTTAGATGTTTACATTAACGTGAGGTCAGTGACACTCTAGATTTGCCTGGTCCTCCCTATAACCATGAAAAGAGCCAAGAATAATTAGCTTGCATGAAAATGTCTCACTTGTAGATGCGTAAAATTTGGAGAGATGAATGCTATTCTCATGTAGCAGTGTTTTAACTGTGAGACTATGGCCATTCTTACTCCCTGGATGAATAAATATATTCACAAACCAGATACTGAAAGAAGAGCAAGAGACCTCACAAAAAAAATTCTGATCCATCATGACCAAACGAGACCCACTCCATTGAAATTTCTGTGATTACAGATGAAATTTACTCCTATATTCAACAGATAGCCTCCCATTTCATCTTGGGTTGGTTCACAACATGACACCTATTCTAAAGAAAACTTACAACATTCAGTATTGTGTGATCTAATTTTTCATTTAGAAAAAAACCCGAAAAACCCCAAATGAAAACAGATGTGTTTATATGATTCTGAGTATGTTGATAGTGGAATTTTTAAACCAAGCACATTGTTTAATATGGATTTAAACAGTTTCAGAACTATTGTCCAGGCAAAAGAAACAAAGTAAATTTGTGATAAACTGGCTGACTGAAGAATTTACAGTATTCTTATCTCATGTCTACTTTAGTTGCTCCTATTGATCATGTATATGGTACGCTTGGTATTGTGGGAGCTACCTCCACACAGCAGTATTCTGATATATCAAAGCTGAGACAGGAGATTGAGGGACGAGGGTCATTCACTTTCTTTGCACCAAGCAACGAAGCCTGGGAACAATTAAATTCAGTAAGTGTGTGTGTGTGTGTGTGTGTGTGTGTGTGTGTGCTCATGCATGCATTAAAATGTGCTTCTCTCAGCTAACATTTCAGCTGCAACAGCTAGTCTGTAGTAAAGTAGATTAGACAAAATATTGGCACTTTAGACATAAAAGGATATTGCACGAGTTGTAATGAAATAATTTGCATGTTAAACACATTTCTGAAGCTAGAGAGTCTGTTTTCAGGGTACCATAGTGGTTTCTTATTTAATCATTTGCATGACAAAGATTAATATCGTTAGTCTTACGATCATAGTTTGGGGAAAACCTATAGGAATTATTTTAATAATAATAATCATCATCATCATAATTTTACATCGTCAGTGATTCAGGTGTCCTTCTTTTAGTAGTGGTTTTAGTTAAAAAAATATTGAATCAAAGCTCCTCCAATGATTTGTCTGTAATAAGGCCTCTTGTCTTCCATTTGTGAGCAAATCAGACTGTAGGATCATTTAAGCAGAGCCTGATTGATAGGTATCAAATGTGTGTTTCCTATCAGATGTTGACTATATTGAAAGCATATGTTAAGGTAAAGTGATACATACATCTTTGTGAGTAGAAGAATGTTCTGAAGCTACTAGCTAATTAATTAAATTCCTTTCTTCTAAAGGAAATTCACAGGAATTTGATTGACAATGTAAATATTGAACTGTATAATGCTCTCCACCACCACATGGTAAACAAGCGGATGCTAACAAAAGATCTTAAGAATGGCATGACTTTGGTGTCTATGTATAATGGCCAGAAATTGCTTATTAACCATTATCCTAATGGGGTAAGTCTATTCTCTTTTTTTTTTACTCCAATATATTTATTCGGTTATAGCCTTTATTTCCTTTATTTCCTTATATAGCTAAGAAAATATATTGTAGAAAGTTAAACATCTAGCAAGGCAGTTACCACTGAAAGAAAATTCCCTTGAATTTTGTCTGCTGTGTAGACTAATCACTAAGAAAGAATGAATAAATGTGCTCTGTTTACTGTTCAGACATCAAAGCTCAAATGAGAATGAACTTCCTTCATGAAAGGCATGTGGTCAAAATGTATGATCATAATCAATTTGACAGCAAAATCTATTATTAACCTTCATGTGTTTACTAAATAATATTAAATCAATCAATTTTTATAAATTCTGGAAACCTTCAAGTTAAGTTACTCATCTTTGTTGCCTCGAATGCATCAAAATGTTTGTGTTGGTCTACAGGTTACACCAGTAAAAGTCAATACAATCACCATATTAAAAGATATGAAACACAAATCCAAATAATCCTTATAAAACATGAATATAAAATCAATGTCCTCTGAATAAATCTGTTGCTACTATTCCAGAAGCTTAGTCAGCCTTTCAAATAATACAAGTTTTGACTTCAAATTATTAAAAAAACCCAACAGAAATAACAACAGTGAATACACAATGTACAATACATTGACAGCCTGTAAGAATCAGATTCCAAGTTTATGAACAAATTAATGTTTAGTCTTCTACTACGTGATTCTTCAAACATAGGTTGTTACCGTTAACTGTGCCAGGATCATCCATGGCAATCAGATTGCTACCAATGGTGTTGTTCATGTCATCGATCGTGTCCTGACTGCTGTTGGAAATACCATTCAAGATTTCATTGAAGCTGAGGATGACCTTTCATCTTTCAGAGTAAGGAGATGAGAATAAAAAAATCTCCTCTGTTTTTTAGTTGGTTTTTGTTTGTTTGTTTGTTTGTTTTGGTGTAAGGTTTTTTGTATTCTATTTGTTTATGATACTTGGAAGTAAGAAAGGTTAGTTTAATAAGAGAGAGAAATAAATTAAATTAAGAACTCCAGATAATATTGCAAATCTAGTTATATAAAAAATGCAAAGTGTATTTTACTTAAGGAGTCTCCTTCTGCTCTTTGGTGGATCAAATAACACCACATCAGTAAGACAGAATATGTCCCTGTATATTAAAAGTGTGTCTTCTCAAGCACTGAGGTAATGAAATGTGAGCATAAAGTTACAGTGTCTGGTGCTAGATAAATGAGAATAATTTCAAAATGGATGATAGAGAATGGTAAAAACATCAAATAAATTCCAGAACCTGAGTTATAGCAAATTTTAGTGCACCAGCAGATGCGCATAGGAAGGATTTTTCTTGCAGAGAGGAAGTATGGTTCTTTTCTGGCCAAGTTGCTCATTTTTCCTTCTTCTGGAAGTTGTGCCTGTGTAGTGTAATGGGATGTCATGCTGCACATTTACAAAAATATGCCATTGATTTGCAAACAGCTGTTGTGCCTTTCCATCTTCCATATCCTCAACAAATACGAAAAGGTATTTTAAATGCAAAGGACTAAAGATGGAAAAGATCCTCTGAATCCCTCAAAACCAATCCATGACAGTTACAGACAACCACAACACTTAATTCCTTTTAAAAAAACTGAATATAAAAGCCAGTCCTTTATAGTCTTCGGTTGAAAAAGAAAGCCTCTCTATCAATTCATCTTTTCATCTTTCTGTAACACTGTTCTCAGCCTAGCATTAAAGTGCCTGTGGGCATGAGGTAAAATTAGACAGATAATGTATTTTGGTAATATTTTAAATAATTAGCATTAAAAGATACAATTAATTTTTTTAGGCTGCTGCCATTACATCAGATGTCTTGGATATTCTCGGAAGGCCTGGTTATTATACACTCTTTGCTCCTACTAATGAAGCATTTGTGAAACTTCCAAGGGGAGTCTTAGAAAGGATCATGGGTGACAAGGTGTCTTCTGAAGGTATGTACCCTTTTTGTTGCAAACTAAAAATACAGGGGAGTGAATCAGGAGATAGAAACTACATTATCCTAGTAGCTCTGAAATTAAGCACCTCTACTTTCATCCATATAGGAGGTGTTATTTTTTCTCTCTTGTATTTTTGCAGTTGCATAAGGATTCAAAGTCACTGAAAAATTAGTTCCCAAAATGGTTTAAATGGAACTGTGAAAAAATAGGCATATTGACATTTCTAATAGTCCAGCTGCATAGTTCTAATAGACACTCCTGCCCCTAGAATTTCAGCTATCTGAATGTGGATTCTCTCGTACCTTTGCATAGCCTATGGAGTTTTGTAGTCATAGGCTTTTTGGAGCATATCTCTGCAGTCACCACTCTGCTACATGCAGATCACAGCATAACCAGTATAGTTTTCATAATATAAAGAATGTCAAATATTTTTGAACATAAATATTGTTTTGAGGCCTATGGTATCAATTGTCCTGTAAGTAATTTTAAGTAAGGTATAAATGAGTGCAAATATGCTCGCTAAGCTAATAAACTATTAAAATTATGTAGATGTAATAATTTATCCAACACCTATATGTGAATATATCACTTTTATATGAATATGCATCCAAACACTTACATCTGTGAACTTTCTACTCTTTTCTCCGCAGCTCTCGTGAAGTTCCATATATTAAATACTCTCCAGTGCTCTGAGGCCATCACAGGTGGAGCTGTCTATGAAACATTGGAAGGAAACACTGTTGAAGTTGGTTGTGATGGTGAAAGTCTGACTGTGAATGGAGTGAAAATGGTGAAACGCAAAGATATTGTGACAAGCAATGGCGTTATCCATCTCATTGATCAAGTGCTAATTCCTGATTCTGGTGAGTGATGTGAGAAAAGCTTTTTGTATCGAAGATGTTTTCTACAATCTTACCTAGATTCCTTCAGATATATAGTTATGGATAAGCATGGAGAATCCAAATCAGGAAAAGGAAGAAACTGAGTGTTAAAATACCTTTTGTTATTCCTTTATTTGCAGCCAAGCAAGTCATTGAGCTTGGGGGTGCCCAGCAGACTACTTTTACTGACCTGGTGGCACAGCTAGGTCTGGCATCTTATCTAAGACCAGAAGGCCAATACACTCTCCTGGCACCTCTAAATGGTGCTTTCTCAGGTTAGTAGCCCTAAAAGATTATCAAAATAAACAAGAATATCTGCTACCCTGACAATTTTCCAAATAACCCCCAGTGCTTTTTCTAAGTCTCACGGAAAGAGCTCCAGAGCTCCATAGAGAAATAGATATACTTCATCCTTTCAAATTAGATACCATGCAGAAAAACAAGATGAGAACAACCATCAGACTGCACAGGTTGATTTCAGTCATAATCATTTGTTAATTGACAGAGCATCAGTATAATAAGATACAAAGTAGGCACAGGCAGATTGTGAGAAAGGAAATATATTAATGAACTGCCAGTTTCCTTAATTACTTTCATTAGATTCACAATTTATTTATTCTCAAAAAATGTATATGTCATGGGGTAACTCCAGCCAACAACTAAGTACCATGCAGCTTCTTAATCACTCCTCCCCTCCTGCTCCTCTGGGATTGGGAGGAGAATCAAGGTTAAAAAAACAAACAAAAACCACCCAAATCTCATAGGTTGAGATAAGAACAATTTAATAAGTGTAATAAACTAAAATAATAATAATACTAATGTTACTAATAACAGTGATAACAACAGTAATAGAAAAAAAGAGAGAATTAAAACACAAGAGAAGCAGGTTACAGTGCAATTGCTCACCACCTGCTGACCAATGCCCAGTCAGGCCCTGATCAGTGCTTGGCCCCTCCTGATCAGGTCCCCTAAGTTCAGGTCAGCTGTCCTTCCTCCAGTTTCTTGTGCACCTGAGATGTCCTACACTAAGCAACTACTTAGCAACAACCAAAATGTCAGTGTGCTATCAACCACAGCACTGTAACAGCTACTAGGAAGCAAATTAACTATCCCAGCCAAAACCAGGACATACAGGAAAGTTGGTATTTCCCTGTAATTAAGGCAGAGAGAAACTGATACAAATACACTATAAAACAGCATTTGTATATTGGCAGAGATGACCAGATGGGCATCTTGCTTTTCCCCCAAAAATTCAAATATAAACTCACCATCACAGAAGCAAATTTGGAAAGGTTTTAAGGTACACATGCAGAAAGGAAAAGTTGTAATAAGAATTACTGCTTTAGAAGTAATTCAAAAGATGGAGAAAGCTTACATATGTAAATCATCAACCACATTATTTATAGCAATTATTCTGGGCTATGTCAAAAGTTCATGACTGAATTTAAGGAATGGCCGTTTGTAGGAACCACTTAAGAATTCATTTTCTGTGTACACAGATCTGCCCAAGACTTAACTCAATCATTTCAAAAGAAAGATTCTGTACTTCTATACTCTTTTAACTTTATTTGGGTGAAAATTCGCTATAGGTCACTATATATTAATATCTAAATGGCTTTGTAGATGACACCTTAAGGCTGGATCAACGTCTTCTTTTAAGAATCCTGCAGAATCACATTATAAAAGTGAAAGTTGGGCTTAATGAACTGTACAATGGACAACAGCTGGAGACAATTGGAGGAAAACTACTTAGAGTCTTTGTGTATCGCACAGTAAGTGAACAAGTCTTTCTAACAATATGTATCCCACCTATGAAAATGAAGAGCCAATAAAGGGAAAGCTGAATGAAACCACCCACATTTGCCATTATGACTATCAAGCAAAAGTCTTTAAGCTTTTAAGATATGAAAAATGAATATCTGATAATTATCAATCAGAACTTTGCATAGAAAAGTCTTTGGGAAAAGAGGAACAGGATTTCAGATTTGACACTCCACTAATTGTGAATTTTTAAAGCTAGTTTTTAGAACTAATCAAAAAAATTCTCAAGGGAAAGAAAAAACCAAGTTTGGAAATATTTGCACCATATTACTTTTGCTTTCTCAAGCAATGCCAAATTTCATGGCAAAACCCCAATTTGACTGTAGGAAATGCATATGAGTGTTATTTTCAACACTGTATAAATAACCACACCTTTTTCTCTCCAATAAGGCTGTATGTATTGAAAATTCGTGCATGGTCAGAGGAAGTAAAGAAGGAAGGAATGGTTTTATTCACATTTTCAGACAGATCATCAATCCAGCAGAAAAGACTTTGCATGAAATGCTGAGAGACGATAAACGTTTTAGGTGAGTAGCAGTTTTGACAGCACTGAGATTTTCCTGCAGAGGGTAACTATATACAGCACAGCTGGTCTGAGAAAAAGTTGTGGGCTGTGAGTTGTTGGATTTTGGAGAGCCGGGAAGGGCTTGTTTCCTAATCAAAGAAAAAAAAATGTGTGGGAGAAAGAAGAAGTGTTCTCCTCCAGCCATACACTGAAAAGTGTCCCAGACTCTATGCAAGAATGGTTGTTTCTGGCACATAGGAGTCAGTAAGACACCAGAATGAGTGGAGTCAGAGGACAAGATGAAATGGATGATACATCCAGAGCTATAAATGCAGTGGATTCTGGAGGTTTAATGAGTGGCACAGTTTCATATGGGTACAGTATGATTACATACCTTTCCAATACATATTTCTGTTCCCTTTCTGCAAGTATCTCAATATTCCTAGAGAGAGCAACTATCCTCTGCACCCTCTCTTCATCTCTTTGATCTGTGGAGTTTTTGTTTGATGAATCCTGCTCCAATCTAGACTGTCAATATTTTTTTCAAATCCTTTTTCCTCTGTCTGCTACTCTTAAGACAGTCTGTTTATAATTACTTTTGCTCTCATTTTCCTCCTCCACTATCTTTATTTCTGGGAAATAATGAAAGTGTTTGAAGATTAATGCACTAGTAGAATAAATGAGGTAACTAAGTACCTCAACTCAATTGTGGTTGCTACACTTAAATGAAAGATATTTGTGGTTTGTCGTTTGTTGGTAACAGCATTTTCCTCAGTCTGGTGAAAGCTGCAGATCTAGATGATGTTCTGTCATGGCCTGGAGAATGGACTCTGTTTGTTCCAACTAATGATGCCTTTAAGGGATTTACTGACGACGATAAGGATATATTGATAAGTGAGTAACATAAGAAAACTAGGAGAAAAGGTTAAATGAATGGAAAGGAGGCTTATGCACTTCTTACACAAAAGCTATATGATGAAAGAGTTTGCCTCTTGCATAGAGCAGGTCATAGGACTTCCCTAAATTATTTCCTTCTTAGAGGACAGAGAAAATATATTTTAGGAAAAAACATGAATTTAAATTAAAATTTCATTCCTTAATATCTTATTCCATGATGTTGCTACCTTCTAAGTTAAAATATTCATTCATTTTATTAGCTTCAACTTTTCATCATTCAACCTTGCTGATAGATATTTTAAACTGAAATTTCTCTTTCATTTCTTTTCTAGCTGTGACCATTGCATTAAAAGATATGTAGTATTGATTTTTTGTTATCTTTCCTTTGTGATCTCTGACAGCAGCTGTGCTCTGCAAGTTAAATGTTGAATATATGTTGCTACATGCCAATGCAAGTAATTTATTTCTATCTGATACTTCCAAACTCTAGAATGATATAGATTTTTCACAAGATGTAAAACAAGCTTGTTTAATGTCATGCTTTATTTTCATAAGAGAAGAAATGCACAGTGAATACTCAAATGTCCTGCAGAATTTCCCACTCGAAGTGTCGACTGTGCACACAGCACTATAAATAATTTTAGTTCATTTGAAGGTAATGAGGATGTGGCCTGTGTACAAGAGGGGGAGGAGTGGTTGCCACACCCAGAAGATCAGTCACATTTTCTGTTCTTGTGCTGCTCAGATCAAAGTTCAAAGACATGAAGTCAAATCACATGATTCTTAATGATTTTGAAGAGTCCAGCTCAGAGTATTGATAAACAGCAGTCCCAGCTTCTTCAGCCTTTAACTCCGTAATGAGGCAAAGGGAATTTGAATTATCTCTTCAGCCATTTAAATTTATGGTAGTGGTCTAAGTTGCCTTCTAGTGTGGTGTGTGTCTAGTGACTAACAGTAAATCAACAGACAGCCTAAATGGCTCTCATTAGGCAGCTATAAAAAGAAATGAAGCTTGTCTCAAGGCTGTAAACCAAAGTAACTAGATAAACGACATTATTCTGTTCTTATAATACTATGTGGTTAATAACTAAGACTGAGTTTATCAGGTCTATTATTTTTGCCTTCAATTTACAACTCAAAGTTGTAGCCAAGCCCAATGACATTTTGGATTAATTCCTTAGTTAACAATAGAATTATATATGACATTCTGCTTTTCAAAGGGCTTTATCTACCATATGTTCCTATCATTGTGACTCCATTTCTACATACTTTCCTTGCCCCTCATTATTTTCTTTGCAGCAGGATGTATGTCAGATTACATTCTAGAATTCTGTCTTGGCTTTCTTTAAAGATATTATGTTGCTTTCTCCATATAAATTAACTTAAAATATGTAAATTTCTTAAGTAATATAAAGAAATACTGTGTTTATCTGTAAGAAAGACACAAATCAATGATTATTTTAACCAGTAGCCATTGTGACATAGAACGAAGTCAATCTGATAGTTTGTGAAAATATCTTTAGAGTGGCCATATTTAGGCTTTGTATGTAATTTGATGCTATCTATGAATGGTCCAGTCACAAAATCTCAGTGCTAATTTTGCTAAGAAGATAAAGATCATCGAATTGCATTTCAGTAGCATAGCGAATTGCAGTAATATCAGTGATCATAGCAAAACACATTAAAAAAGGAAAACGTTCACTGAAAGAGACACCAGGAAAAAAAATACGGCCAGACAGGATTTCCATTGCAGTTTCATCAAGGCTGAAACTCCTAATAACAATTGTTTATTGGTAGCATTAGACTTAGAATTGTCGCTGTTCCCTGTAATGGCAATCAGATATGCTTTAAAGCTGCTCTGCTTTGTACCCTGTCTCCTGAGAACATTGTGGGTATTTCAACAGCCCATCCTATGACTCTCAACCCAGAGCACCAGAAAGCTCTATGAGGACATTAACTTGGGCTCCAGGATTAATTTCCTTTTAACGAGAGTCTTAAAGTGTTGGATTTCTTTTTCTTTTCATGCCAAATAAGAATGTCAAACATTGACACAAGGAAATCATCCTT